CTGTCTCTCTCAAAAATAAATAAACATTAAAAAAAAAATTAAAATCACTAGCTCACACAGTGCGGCTCCCCCAAAGGACTGAGGCACTGTGCAGAGCTAGAGAAGAGTCCCCAGTATCTCTGGACCTCCAGGCCCCTCCTCAGAGATTCCTGGCCACCAGGCTCTAAGTATGCCTGTAGGGCGTTCCACTTGCCTAGCTGTCATTAGCCTGTTCCAGGAGGGGCCTTTGCAAAGAGCTTGGGAAAGTATTTACTCTCTTTCACCTTCGAGAGAATTCGAGAAGCCAGGTGTGAGTGGTTGGATGAGAGTGGACACTGCAGACAAAGGGGAGGTAGGAGGTGTGTGATCGGCTCCCGTTAGGAGTTCCCAGTCTGATGGTGGAGGCTGGATATAGTGTGTGTATGGGCATGTAACACACGTGTACACGCGCGCGTGCACACACACACACAGAACTACAGGCCTGAACAGAGATGGGGCTGAGGTGCTCAGAAGTAGGACCAGGTATCGCAGACAGCCAGGCATTGGTGTTTGGAGCTGAGGCTGTAAAATCATAGATGCTCACGTCTAGGAAGGATGATTCATGGAGCCCACGTCCTGGCCTGTGCCTGGACCACTTTCTCAGCGCCCTCACCAGCCACTCACTGTTCATTGAGAGCATCCATGCTACGTGGGCCAGTGGTGATAATTAGAAATGCCTTGAGATGCTTGGAGAGGCTGAGTTGTTCCTTCTCTGGGAGAATTGGTGTGGCCTGAGTCCTTTCATCGTTTATGCTCCCTTTAGCCATGATCCTCTTAAGAAGTGGCTGGTTTCCAGATCTTGACAAACCATTTGGTCGAACCAGTTCTGAGAGGAGCAGAACTGTTGCCTCACCTCACCTCCAACCTTCTAGATGCCACAGGGCCCAGGACCCCATACTGTTGGAGATGTGCACTCAGTTGACCACAGGGCAGGTGTGTTAGTCTGCTGGGGCTGTTGTAACAAAGTCGCACAGACGGGGTGGGTGGGGGGAGGGGGACGGGGCGCTTAAACCACAGAAATGCCTTTTCTTACCGTTCTTGAGGCCAGAAGTCAAGATCAAAGTGTTGGTGGGGTTGGCTCCTTCTAAGACCTCTCGCCTTAGGTCGTAGACAGCTGTTTTCTCCACGTGTCTTCACAAGGGCTTCCCTCTTTGTGTCTCTGTGTCCTAATCTCCCCTTTGTATAAGGATACCCATCAGATTAGATTAGGGCCCACCCTTATCACCTCATTTTAACCATATTACCTCTATAAAGGCTGTATCTCCAAATACAGTCACAATCTGAGCTACCAGGGGTTAAGGTATATGCATTTGGGGAGACACAATTTAGCTCATAATAGCAGAAGAGAAACCCGAAGAGAAGCTACAGCCTTCTCCGAAGCTGACACTTCCCTGCCTGCTCTCCCCAAAGCCCGTCCCCCAAAACCTATTCTTCAGCTATCAGTTAAGGTTCTCTCCCTCTTCCCAGGCCCTGTTCGTGCTGGGCCCCTCCTCCTTGCGACCGCCAGATGTCTACTTGCGTGGAATTAATACTAATTAAGGGCCTGCTCTTTAAGGCACTGTACTAGCTTCCTTTGCATCTCCAACCTCACGTAACATTTACAACCACCTTGGAGACTGGGAGTTACTACTCCCATTTTATAGGTGAGGAAACTGAGGCTTAGAGCAATCATGGGGCTTGTCCGAGCTCAGCCATCTGGGAGGAGGCAGAGCTGGGACCGGAGCCCAAGTGCTGACTTTGAGTCCAGTGTTCTGTCAGCCATACCAGGCAGCAGGCCTTCCAAGATACTGAATTCCTTCAGGCCGTAGGAGCTCAAGCCCGAGAGGGAGCCCAGGGATTCAGGCATTTGGGGTGCCTGCGGTTGGGGAACATTGCAGGGGCTTCAGGAGGTGATTGCCCACCTGTCTGAAAAGCCTCCAGGATGCTTGATTTTCCCAGGCAATTTCAGAAGGCAGCACTCTGTACACAAAGCTTCTCTGTGGGCCTCCTTGTGGAGTCCTGGTCATGTCTTAGAAGCTTCTGGGGTATAGTGAGAAAGGCAAGCCTCTATGGGGAACCCCTATCACCCCCAGGAGGAAAAGGGCCCCTTCCTCTGTGGCTTTTCCCTGCCCCTCTCCTCACATACACACTCATCTCACTGTCCCCTCAGCTGCTGCCTCTGCCTTCTCCATTCCCCCTTCCACTCCCCCCACACCAGCCCCTCACCTTCTGACAGGTGGGGAAGAGAAATCTGAGCTAAAAGGCCTCTCACCTAATTCATTACAATAAATTGGATGATATTGAAAAATGACCTGGGTCTGGCAGCATTTTCCTGAGTAAACCAGCTTCCTCTGGGCCAGCAGTTATTGGTGCTTAATAACTGTGTATTGAACTTATTGATGAATTAATTGTGGGAGAATCCTTGGTCTCCATAAGAGAAATGAAAGGGGGAGGCTGAAAGGGAAGCTTGTTCAGATTTCTCTTTTATAAAGACCTAAGATTCATAGATATAATTGTTTAAAGTTATCTAATCTCGGGGCACCTGGGTGGCTCAGTCGGTTGGGCGTCCAACTTCCACTCAGGTCATGATCTCACAGTTCACAAATTCAAGCCCCACATCGGGATCTGTGGTGACAGCTCAGAGCCTGGAGCCTGCTTCAGATTCTGTGTCTTCCTCTCTCTCTCTGCCCCTCCCCTGCTCATTCTCTCTCTCGCTCTTGCTCTCTCAGAAATAAACATTTAAAAAAATGTTTTAAGTTATCTAATCTCACAAGGCGAGTACTGGAGGGAGGGGAAAGTAGTCCCCTGACTCACTCACAAATCCTACTCCTGAAAGGCAAGTGCATTCACCTCTTGTAGCTGTTTCTTCTGGCATTTCCTTCCGCATTTCTGCATCACATGCTTCACTACCATTTCATTGCCATTTCTGTTGACTTCGTACCATAGGATAAGATTCAGATCTGTCTTACACACACACACACACACACACACACACACACACACACACACACACACATCACATGCAACCCTTCCCCAACCCTCTCAGTGCAACTTTATTACAATTTTTGGTTGAATCATTTTGATGACATTGATGACTTCATAATTTGATGACATAATGAATTCAAAATCAGTGTTTATGTTAATATGCTTACCTATGTATTGTTACTAATTTATCCCGAAAACTCTCTGTCAGAACTCAAAAAGGCCTCTCCAAAAGTTCAGACCCATTAGAAATCTCTCAATTTGGGTTTTGTTCCAATTTTTTTCTTGGAGGCCACACCCCCCAGAGCTTTGTGTACTTCAGTTCCTGCTGCCCTGGTGTCATTCTCGGACTTCCTTTCACTGCCACCCTGTGTTTCCCTCCACCTCTCTCTTCTGTTGAAGTCCCCATTTCTTTCTTTTTATCATATAATTCTTTTTAATGAAAAAAAATCCTTCAGTAGCTTTCTAGAAGAGAAGCTTAGGAAGTTAGTTTTTTGAGGCTACTCCCCACCTGAGTGTTAGTTTAGCTGGGTATAGAATTCTAGGTTGGAAATTATTTTCCTCTGAATTTCTGAGGCATTGCTCCATTATCATCTAGCTTTTAGTTAAGAAATCCAATACATTTTGATTCCTGTTCTTTTGTATGTGACTTTCTGAAAACTTTGAGGATAATTTCTTTATCCATGGAAGTATAAAAATATATAATTATAAGCCTTAATGTGGGTCTTTTTCTTTTTCATTTTTCATGCTGGAAACTCTCTAGACCTTTTCAATTCAGAGATCAGTGCTTTCCATTATTCCATTCTGGGAAATTTTTCTTGTATTATATTTCCCATTTAATTTAGGCACCTCAATTTTCTCTGTTCCACTGTCTGAAATCCTCTGTTAATTAGATGTCAGACCTCCTGGACTGATCCTCTAATTTTATTATATTTTGCCTACAGTTTCCTCCTTCAGTGCCTCCCCCCACCCCCGCACTTCTCCCTCTCTCTTGTCCTACTTTATGGGAAATTTATGCATTTTCCATCTCTTCTACTAAAAATTTTTAAATTTCTGCCATCTTATTTTTAAATTTCAAGAAATCTTTACTTTTCTCTGGGATATTTCCTTTTATAGCACTCTGCTCTTTCCTAGATAAAAATAATTTCAAATAACTACCTACGGATACTCATTTTAATTATAACGGAGGTTTGTAATTCTCTTTTTAAAAGTTGTCTTTGCTTCCTGCATACTTCCTATATCCTCTGTGTTCCTTTTGTGTATTTTCTGCTTAGGTCTTCATCTGTTATTTCATTTGAAATATCTGGTGATCCTCCACTACCTGTTCAGGTTTTCTGGTGAGCCTCAGAAAAGCTGTTAGGAAGCTGAAAGGTAGGGGGAGTTTCCAGGCTTGTTGACTGATGGGACCCTCAAATACCAATATCTGTAGGTTTTTGCTTTTGAGCTTACCTGCATCCCTAGCAGGAATGGTAATCAGCAGTCTAGTTGCTGAGCAGGCAGAGTGCACAGGATCCCTGTTTCTCATGGCACCTCCCTCAGTTGTGCTTGGTATCCCTCTGTCCAAGCCTACGTGGGTCAGACTCTTCAAAAGTCAACTTCCAGGCTTCTGCCAGACTGGGGAAGTCACCTGGCTGTTTGAAGTGGGGGCAGAGGTCTGGGGTCTAATTCTATCTATTATAAACATTTGAATAGCCCTCCTGTTCCTGCACACCTGCCCTTGGACCTTCAGATGTTCTTGGTGTCTTTGATTCCTGAGCTTTTCTGAGGTTACCATCTTCCAGCATATCTTGGAAGACGTTTGTGCCCTGCATGGTCTCCGCTTCCATTGCTTTTGTCTTTGCAGGCTCATACCTTTGCCCCTTTGCTTTCATGTTAGCAGGGTTTGGGAAAGAAATAGAAATAAAGTGTGTGTTTCCAGACCACTATGTTTAATTAGAGTGTCTGTTTTTTCCTCAGCACTTAATTGTGTGCCAGTGTCACAGTGCTTAGCACATTGTACTTGAGTTATCTGCTTTGTTGCCTCTCTCCCCAGTAGATTGGGAGGTCACAAATCGAGTCTCCCTCATACTTTTGTATCCATAATATCTAACACAGAGCCTGGTATACAACAGGCACTTAATAAATGTGTGCTGAATAATTGGATGAGCAAATTGGCCTCAGTCTCCCTGTCTCTAAATTGGGGCTTTGGAAGCCACCATGTCCAGCTTCTTATGCTTTATGACTGGGAAGAAAGTCCCACTGAGGAAATGGGGTGGTCCCTGGACTACAGCCACTGTGCCACTTCTAGGAGAGAGTGGCCTCAGCATTGCACTACCTATGTGTGTCTTCCCTCCTCTGTTTCAGGGAGCAGTGTGTGCCCAGCCCTGCCCACCAGGGACATTCGGCCAGAACTGCAGCCAGGACTGTCCTTGCCACCATGGAGGGCAGTGTGATCATGTGACTGGACGGTGCCACTGCACAGCTGGCTACATGGGGGACAGGTAAGAGGGGGGGCTAGCTATTGTCCTTGCTGTTCATATTGCTCATTTTCCCGGCAGCCTTGCAGAGAGCGGCTGGGGTTCACCAGCCCACAGCATCCCTCTGTGAGCCTTTCTCAGAAAGCATTCTGAGTCCTCCTGCCAGGAAGACTCATCAACTCATCCTTCCTGGCCCTTGGCCCACTACACACACCGCCCCGCCCCCAGCCCGGTGACCCAAGCCCTAAACTTGAAGTGACTCACCCAGAGAAGGAAGTGAACACCTACTATCCACTCTCTGCTTTCTGCCTTACTGCAGGGAGACAATGGCACCAGTAATCCAAGGAAGCTGGGGGTGCAAACTAGTTAGTACGTTTTGCATAATTTCTTCTAGAACTAAATTTCTATGCTTAATTTGAGTTCTGCCAAAAGGATACAGGCATAAGTTTGCATCCTCTGAAGGCTAGAGGCCTGAGAGCAGACTGAACAAGGGCACCAGAGTCCTGGAATCACTCCAGCCTTGCAGAGCGGATAACTCACAAAACACATAACTGAGGAATTACTGTATAAGCACATTTGCCATGGTAGGAAGAAGGATGCCATGATGATGGGCTTGGTGCTATGGAAGTGAGAGAAGCCACAGTCAGTGTGTTGGATGGTGAGTGAATTCAGAGCTGGAAGAGGACGTTTGCCCACAGGACCTGGGCCAAGTCTCAACTACATGTGTCTCTTCGAGCAGAGAGAGGGGTGGTAGAAAGGAGGCTCTCACATGCTTTTTCTGCTTCTGTGGGGTCTGTGTTTTATCTCTGACCTTGGGTTTTGTTACTCTGCCCAGACAAGGTGAGACAAGAGGAACGTTTGTTCACCATCCCTCTGCTTCTCCTGCCCAGATAACATCAGCAAGCAGGGATCGAGGCTGAGTCAACTAATTGATCTTTCTGGTTGTGACAATATAATTGGGCCCCTCCAACTGTGACTGGAGTCAGCCTCAAATTCTTGGCGATGTCCAGAAAAGCGACTTTCCATTTTTTGCTTTACATTTATGTGCTTCTAGCCCAAAGTCTTTTGAGCCAGATCTAATCTCTTTGTGAGCCAGTATTCGTCCCTTTGATCTTCCCAGCCTTAGAACATGGGGTGCGGTATCTGGAAATCCTCTCTGATTTCTGTCAAAGATGGGGGTCTCTGGGAGAAGGTGCAGACGGGAAGGACTGAAGCATTGAGCCCAACTTCACATTCTCACCCTCTCCCCCAATAAGGAAATGCTCAGGATGAGCTATGAGGGTCAGGAGCTAGAAGACCCCAGAACCAGAACAGGACCCTTTGTTGCAGTCCACCTGCACATGAGAGGTAACACAGCTCACTTGTTGTTGGAGACAAGCAGGCCCAGACTTCCAGCTTGCTGGACGCAACACCAGTAGACCTTACATCACTGACGCTCTCGATTTTCCAAGATGTGCCCAACAGAAAATTCTAATCCCTCTTCTTGTTGGGGCAGCCCTCAATCCTGGGGCAGAGAGAAATCCCAAATCCTTGGGGTCTCCTGAGCAAGCTTCACCAATCAACTATAGAGAGTTCAGTGGGAGGGCCAGTAGCATTTGGGTTTCCCACCTAAACGGGCCACCTAGTGTTTAATATTTTGTAAAATTGCTTCCATTAATTTTGTAGGTGACAGCTGCATTAACCCTCCCCAAATCATTGCAAGCATATTAAAGTTGAGTGGGTGTAATAATGCAGGCCTCCCCGGATAGGCAGAATCCAGTGCAAATTAAACATGAAACGTAACGAGGGCTTTGCAGCTCATTTTGTAATTTAATTGAGCAATGGATCTGGTTGTTAATGGCAATATCAGACACATTAGATTGATATGTTGCAAAGGAAGGATGTTTAAGTAGAAAACTAATTCCTGCTGTGATTACCCTTCTGTTCCACAGGCCCCGTTATTAGCGTGCTTTGTGTAAAATTCATTAGCAGTCGTTGCTTGATCTCTAAATAAATAAGTTGTTTAAATTGTGAGTAAGAAAAAAAAAGAGGCTGATTATGTAAATGGATTAGGTTGTCAATATTTCATTTCCAGATTCTTTTTCTGGGGCTGTGGAATAAGTCACTTCATAAATATGGCAGGGTAGGGGTGGTGCCCTTCACAAGGAGCTCACTGGCCAGGGCTCTGCCCACTCCTGCTGGATGGCAGGGAGCAGGAATGTTCCAGTGGAAGGGAGGAGGAGTCAGGAGGGTGTCCTCGCTTGGGTCTCTTGCCCTGATGTCTGAGACATCTGAGGAGAACCAAATTGAGTGGCACCTGGAAAAATCCATTCTGAGGCTGAACAGGGGCTGGCACTTTGGATAGTGATTTTCCAGCTCTTCATTGCTTTGTGTCCTGCCCTTCTGCCTCAGTTTCCCTCTTTTCCTCCCCCATCCTACTACTGTTTCTCCTTCCCGTCTTCCACCTTCTGTTTCTTCTTCACACAGCCTCTTCTTTCTTCTCTCTTCCTCCCTCTCTTTTCTCCCTCTCTTTCTTCTCTCTTCCTCCCTCTCTTTCATTTCCAGATTCTTTTTCTGGACCTTCCCTACATGGGACCCCAGACTGGCCAAAATGCCACAAGACCTGCAGGGGAGCAGTCCAGCGTCATCTTGGCCACCTGCAGGCTGTGTGAGCTTGGAACACACCTCACCTGTATGCGTCTCAGCCCCCTCAACTCCAAAGTGAGGGTGACGGGCATGCCTGCTGCTTTAGGGGCCTGTGGCCGGACTTTGGGGTGTGCACAGCTGGAAGTCCCCTCTGACCACTGTCCAGGCTGTACCCATCATCATCCCCACTGCCCGTCCATTCTGCTCCATTCCTCCTTTTGTCACAGTAACTCTGTGAGGGGAGGATGGGTGGCATCTTCCTCGGGAAAGCCCGCAAAGTTAGACCTCCGTCACCTTCTTCCTTCTCCTGTCATCACGGGCACAAGGCGACAAAGAAAAGAGAGACAGAGACCCCCTATGCCAAGACTGACATCTGACACACCAGCCACTCTGGGCACGAGGCACTTGCCACCCAGTCCTGCAGCATCACCGGGGCCCCTCCCCATCGTGATCAGTACCCAAGGTCGCCCAGACATGGGCTCTCCCTGCCCTGTTGTGGAGAACACTGGTTACAACTCACAACTCTCCAAGATCTAATAAAGAACTCAGGGCTGTATTTTTTTATACCCCCCCCCCCCCACCATTACTGTGGAAGGCACAGGAAAACTGGAAAATGGTTGTCTAGATGACAATTAGAACACTTTAGAATTCCTCAAGTCTACTCCATGGTTAACGTTTTGGAATGTTTCCCTTGAAGCCTTTTCATATCAGAACATGAGGCAGAAGGTCGGATGGGCTCTGAGAACTTTAGAAAACAATATTAACGGGAAAATTAATAACTCACATTTCTTACTGAGCCCTTACCGTGCATGGGGCACCTTTCTGAGGGTTTACACACATTACCTCATTTCATCCTCAAACAACCTGGGGAGCTTTTATTATCATCCTGTTCTACGATGAGAAAGCAGATGACAGAATCGACCTTCCAGCATCACAGAAGCAGACTGCCTCGTGGGTCATCCCAAATCCCAGAGGCCATTTCCTTTGTCTCTGGGATGCAGGAACCACCCACCTCTTTTACCCTCTATGTCCCCAGGGGTACCCCTGACCTTGTCAGGATCGCAGTGACAGTGACTTTGCCTCCCTGGGGAATAGCCCTGGCCTGGGGTGGGGGGTGTCGGGCACTCTGCAGCAGGGGTCTCACTTTACCACAGAGGATCCACACCCAGGGGCTGCAAGGCAATGATTTAAATAATGAAGGTTATTACTGGAAGCTCCAAGGAGCAGGCCAAACTACTGAACACAAAAGTCAAGACATGAAAGGGGCTCACTTCTCTTCCTTGGCTCACCAGCATCCCCAGTCCGAGGAGGAGGAATTAGTCCCTGGTGTGGGGGATTCTCCCATCTGGTGAAGGAGGATGCCTCTTGTACTCAGGAAAATTCCACACTGGTGGAGGACACACGTTTCTAGTCTGACCAAGGGAGACTGTACCTCTGCCCAAAAGATAAAATCGGAAACAGTGATTAGAAATGAAATGACCACGTTTCATCAAACCCAAGATGCCACCGATGGTAAGATGCATCATTTTGTCGACTGCTAAGAATGAAAACACGGATAATTACCCTGTGACATGCCATCAGTTGTAAGACTGAACCGATGGCAGAGATGCTAAAACATAGCTTAAAAACATAAGGTTTATGGGACGTCTGGGTGGCTCAGTCGATTAAGCATCCAACTTCAACTCAGGTCATGATCTCCTGGTTTGTAGGTTCGAGCCCTGCGTCGGACTCTGTGCTGACAGCCCGGAGCCTGGAGCCCGCTTTGGGTTCTGTCTCTCTCTCTCTCTCTCTCTCTCTCTGCCCCTCCCCTGCACATGCTCTGTCTCTGTGTCTCAACAATAAATAAATGTTAAAAAAATTTTTTTAATTAAAAAAATACATAAGGTTTATTGTTTAATGGGTACAGACATTCCAGCTTGGGGAAGGTGAAAAGGTTCTGGAGCTGGATGGTGGAAACAGTTGCACAAAATGTGAATATACTTCATGCCACTGAACCCTAAAAATGGTTAAAATGTTCAATTTTATGTTACATATATTTTACCGCAATCAAAAAAAGTGAAGTAAAACCCCATTTAAGGCCTCTAATCAATGAAATATGACCATACAAATTCCGTGCCGGGGGGACTGAGGGGACCAGGCACCAAGCGGGGACCTGCCTGCAGGTGCTTCCTGGAGGATGAGAAGGGAGGGAGGGATGCTGGGATCAGGTGCCACACCCCAGGCTCAGGCCTAGAGGCACAGGGTGTGTGCTGGGCTGATCTGGAAGGGCAGGTGGGGGGGCACAGCCTCAACCCCAGTCTCCTTCCCGCAGGTGCCAAGAGGAATGCCCGTTTGGGACCTTCGGCTTCCAGTGCTCACAGCGCTGTGACTGTCACAACGGAGGCCAGTGCTCGCCCACCACCGGCGCCTGCGAGTGTGATCCCGGCTACAAAGGCCCCCGCTGCCAGGAGCGGCTGTGCCCTGAGGGACTGTATGGCCTGGGCTGTGCCTTGCCCTGCCCCTGTGATGCCGACAACACCATCAGGTACGAGCTGGGGTCAGGTGAGCCGGGGGCTGGGTGGGCGGGTGAACACCGGTGGAGAGGGAGCTTCTCAGGGCACACTCCCCTGATTGGTCACCCGGGTGGGGCATTGAAAGAGCTCAGCTAACCACTTTGATGAAAAGGGGAAGCCAAAGCCACAGACAGCCAGGACCAGGACCCGGGTCACCTGCCTCTGTCTACCACACCCAGCTGCCAGCTTTGAAAATGGGCCCGCCTGAGACCCCACACACAGAAGTAAGGAGGGAGTTTGGTGACCCTCAGGGCAGCAGTGTGGAGTGTGGCCACATGGTCCTGGGGTGCTAGGGTGGCTCAGCTCACGTGCCACAGGCTCTGGGGCCATTGTCCTTGAGAAACTTCCCCTCTGCGTGCTCCACGCCTAACTAAGCCATCCGCCAGCCCCTAGAGGTTCAGGGACAAGACTGCCAGGGCAGAAGCCAGGGCCTTGGAGCTCAGAGGATCAATACTGGAAGGGGCCTTAGAGATCAGTGTGGCTCTCCTAGGACCTGGAGAGGGCTGTCCCAGCAGGCCCTGGCTAGAGTGGAGGAGTAGGAGGGACAGAGGTCAGGGCCAGCCTCTCCCTGCAGTCTGTGTCCTTTCGGGTTTGAGGGCATCTCAGGTGAAGCTGGCACCAACGGCTGCTTCCAGGGAAGCCTGAATCTGGGAAGCGGAGAAGCCAGAGCCGCCCTGGGCCACCTCTTCCGTGTCTTCTTCACTTCCTGCTTCATGCACCAGCTGGCAGCACCCTCTGGTAATAAATGAGGCTGTCGGCCCCAGATAACACCTCCACAGCACTCTATGTGGCTGCCTCTTATCTGGGTGGTGAAGGATGGGGGAGTCTCCCTTCTCTCCTCGGACCTGCAAGACAGCTCGGGAGGACTGCACGCTCGGGGCAATGGGTATCGCTGCTGTTTGCAGGCCAGACAGAGATGCCTCTTCTTTGCAGCCCAGTGGCTGGGACAGCCAGGACTTGGCCCCAGCCCCCTCTTCATTTCCAGCATTTGATTCTCCACAGATCACCTAAGAGCCTCTGGTCACTGCAAGCAGAGGCATCTTAGCAGGTATTATGGCTTAGAGGTGATCTGTCCTCGGTCCTCAATCCCTGGAGCTGAGCGGCTGGGATGATGCTGCCTGCAAGGCAGAGGGCTGAGAAGACACTGTAGAGAGGGCCCTAGAGCCAGCAGAGCAGACCTATATATGACCTGAGTCATTCACTCAGTCATTCATTCAGCAAACACTGAGAGCATGTGGGGCTGGACCACAAGGAGGAAATCGAGTCCCTCAACACCCGTCCAGCCCTCAGGAACTCAGGTCTGGAGCACTCACACACACTGAGCCCCTTCTACCATATGTCTTCCAATACGAGACAATACCAGTAGTGAGGCACAGCTCTGTTTTACAGACTACTAAGAAAGGAAAATGCTATCACCTGAACCATGACGTACCATTGATTGTATAGCACACCCAATATCTGAGAGGGGGGGAATGCGGGGAAACGTGCATCTTGGAATCGATAAGATGTATGTGGCTGGCCCCACTGGGTCCCAACACGTGCTCAAGTAACTGACCAGGGCTGTGCTTAGAAAGTGTCACAGGAAACTGCTCTGTTGGTCTGGAAAGTCTTGAGGAGGTGGCGTCCTTGCTGGGTCTGGAGGACAGGGTAAGAGCTCTGAGGCTCTAAAGATAGGTATTCCATATGGCCGGTCAGGGGCCTGGACCTCTTGCACAGGTGGAACTGCACCAGGACCCCCCCCCCGCCCAACCCCAGCTGGAAGCCAAGGGAGGACCCTTTCGGGGACAGGAAGCAGGACTGCTGCCGCTGAGGTCCAATGCAGGGAGATTCCTTGCCACAGAGATTCAACCAACCCCCAGATTAAAGAGCTATTGTTTTCCTCCTGTGCCTGAGCAGCCGTGCCCTGCATAATTTATTTTTCCTCTGAAGGAGTCCTCCATGCATTATTAATCTGGAAGGACTCCCTCTTCTCCGTCGCTAATCTCAGCCCATCCAATATTGATGATTGTTTGCTTTCCTGTCTTTAACACATGTCATGTTTCAGGGATTGGGAATCCATAGCGTTTCTTAGAACTGGGGGTTCCGGGCCGGGCTCCTCCGTGTCTGCATGGCGGCCTCCTTTCAGGCCGCTGTGTCACACGTGGCCCAGGCTCCTTGAGGGCGGTTATGACCTGGCTTGCCCAGCATTGCACGGTGCCTGGCACAGGGCAGACCGTCAGTAAGAAGAATCACTGAATTCAACTCAGCCGATGCCTCTAGGTGGTTCTGCCACTGGGCTGATGTCTGCCTTACTATTTTTGTTCATATTTCACCCCGCTCTTTTGGTACACTGGCCCAATAACTGAACCCACAATACTCAACATTTTCATTCAGTCTAACTCAGAGTTTCTCAACCTGGCCACTGTTGACATTTAGGGCCGGATAATTCTTGGTTGTGGGGGCTGTTCTGTGCATCGTAGGGGGTTTAGCAGCATCCGTGGCCTCTACCCACTAGACCCCAGTGGCCACAACCCGCCCCCAAGTTCTGACAAGCAAAACTGTTTCCTGGATGGGGAATGTAGGGTACATTGCCCGTGGTTGAGAGCCTCTGGCCTGACTCAACTCTCTCAGGCTGTTTTTGACTTCATTTTCGTGGCCACAGGGAACACCTCTCTTCCTCTGCATGGACACACGTCACTCCTCTCTTCCGTGAGCTTTTGTCCCAATATAGAGCCTTCTCTTGGGATCCAAGAAAAGTAGAGGGAGAACTCTATGGCTTCTCATCTCGAGGGAGTTAAGTTATCCTGGGTGGGGTCTGGGACCCCTGAGTCCTGGCCTCAGGACATTTGCTCTGTCTGATCAAATGCCCTGCTATGTACACTTGTCCTCTCTAGGTCTCAGTTTCCCAGTCTGTCCATCACCTTTCATCAGCCCAGTGGGGGCAAAAGTTCTCTTGTGGTCTTTGAAGGTGAAGTGTCCCCCCAGCTCCCTGAGACATGGAGTGTGGGGTCCCCAGAAGCCTAGCCCCCAACTCCCCCTGGCTTCTGAGAGCTTATGGCAGAGCCCCGCCAAGAAGGCATGCAAGGCCTTGAGTATCTTCCCAGGGAGACAGAGTACTCTCGACCCCCAACCCTCCGCATCTGGTCCCAGCCTCTCTCTGCCCGGTGCCCCTCTGGAGAGCCTGCTTCACAGAGGTTGAACTCATGTGCCCGAGGAGGGAAGAAGTGGCTGGTCAGACCCCCCACCGCTTCGTTCTCTTTATAAATGCTGTGGAGCACGCACAAAGAAATGATCCTCCTTCATAAAGGAATAACCTTGAGAAAGAGAGTGCCTGTGTGTCAGGCCTCTGCCGTGTCCCCTCCACAACTGGATTGTCACAGACGAATTCCAGCAGCCATGATCATGTATTACCTTTGAAAGATTTTATTTAGCCAACAGATGCAGCATTGATAGAAATCTCAGAGCCACCAAAATAAAAACGACAGAAAAATCCACCCGGAAAAGATTCCTGTATTGTTCAGCTTTCGGCTCCTATTAATTTGTGATTAATCTATGTCTGGGGAAAATGGCATAAAGACAAGGGGAAGGAAAAAAAAAAAACAAACAGTGAACTGAGCCTGCGTAAACACCAATGTTTGTGACCTCTGCCTGAGCCTAACCAACAGTCACTTGTCCACCGTGTGACTGAGGGAATGGCTCTGCCACCACGAAGCATAGGGGAGCAGGGAACAGGGGACACCTGGGAGAGATCAGATGTGAGGAAGGTGCCCAGTTCTCAGTCATAAATCACACAGCCAGCAGTCATTCCCCCCAGCCCCTCTTGAAAGGTATTTGAGAGGTTTTATAATTAATGATAAGCAATCAAATTAAGAAACTAGAGATCATGGGTTTTTTACCTAGAATTTTAGGGACATGAAAGGAGGGAGAAAGAAGTGATTTCAGATGCAGTTTTGAGCTTTTCCAGTGCTCAGAGTGAAAAGTGAAATTGGCACCAATGCACACACCAAACGCTGGTGGCTGAGACTACAGGCGGGCCCTGCGGGAGCACTTAGAAGTCAGGTTCACCAGGCAGCGTGTGCCCGGTCTGCTTCTCACGGGGTGGCGGTCCCACCAGAGCCAGGGTCTGCAGTGAGAGAACCCACCGATGGGAAGGGCACAAGCGTGCCTGAGACCCTTTGGCATCGCAGGGGCTGGGCTGAGTTGATGGCCACAGCCAAGGCTGCCAGGTCGTTTGTTAGATCCGCCCGTGTCCATCCCTGAGACTGTCACTAAGCTGGTCCCTCCAACCCCAGGAGAGGCTCCTGGAAATGTGGAACCAAGAAGGGGCTTGCTCAGAGTATTGAGACAGAAAGGCGTGCCCCACATCTGTCTAGCTGAGGGTCAGGGTCACCACGTGGGGGCCACCGCCCCATGGCACCCACGTAACTACCCATGTCCCCCTCGTGGCGTGGGGCTCAGGGAAGAGTTTGTCTGGAGCCAGGAAGTCTTAAAACCCTCATTCCTTGCATGATTCTTCTTTTCCGCTTATTTACACTTTTTATTGATTTACGTCTGTGTATAAATAGAATTGATGCTCAGTTTGGGGAAATTCGACAATACATTTTTTTTTTAATTTTTTTTTTCAACGTTTTTTATTTATTTTTGGGACAGAGAGAGACAGAGCATGAACGTGGGAGGGGCAGAGAGAGAGGGAGACACAGAATCGGAAACAGGCTCCAGGCTCCGAGCCATCAGCCCAGAGCCCGACGCGGGGCTCGAACTCACGGACCGCGAGATCGTGACCTGGCTGAAGTCGGACGCTTAACCGACTGCGCCACCCAGGCGCCCCTCGACAATACATTTTTAAAGAAAAAACTGCGAATCATCATAATTTCTCAACCCTAAAGCCATTTTGTTGTCATTTTTTCGTGCTTCATACACGTCTGTGTATATCTGTCTTACTTTTTCCATATTTTAGATCATGATTTATTTACAATTTGCTTATTTCACTTCACCTGGTATCAGTAAAGATTTTGGGAAGCATTTGGATATTTCTGTAACATCTCTTCATACAAATTGTCATAATTCATGTAACCAGCACTTTGTTGTCAGAGGCGGCATAAGACCATGGATAGAACATGGTCAGACAGACCTGGGTTTGAATCCCTGCTTCCCCTGACTTAGCCATGTGACTGTGAGCAAGTCACATTACCTCCAAGTGCCCTCTGTAAAATAGAGGCTCTAATGCCTAACTCACAGGCTTATCTGAAGATTAGAAATATATGTATAAAGTGCCTGGTGTTTTAATAGCCTGGTCACATTATTATTTAAATTGGTTTCATTTGCCCTCTATTATAAATAATGCTTCAGGGAACATCTCTGTGCATAAATCTTTCTCTGCCACTATGATTATTTCCTTAGGAGAGATTCTTAGAAATGGAATTATAAGACCAGAGGGTCTGAATATTTTTAAAACTCCTGATACATAACCCCAAACAGTTTTCCAGAACCTTCTACCAGCATTGAGTATTGTCCCTTAAAAAAAAAATCTATTTTGATAGAGAAAAAGTGATATCTCGTTGTTATTTTGACTTGATAATTAATGAGACTAAACATTTTCCAAGATGATTATTAGCTACTTGCACTTATTATTCAGAAACTGTCTACTCTTGTCCATCCCTCGTTTTCCATGAGAAAACCAGGGCTCCTGGAAGAGAAATAGCTTGGCTGGGCTTCACACAATTAGTGTGTTCATTAATTCATTTGCCAAATATGTACTGAGCATCTCTAGCATGCCAGGGACTCTGCGAGGCCCTGGGGTACAATACAGAGAGAGGTGAAATAGACAAAGGGCCCTCCCCAATGGAGCTGCCACCTGGTGGGAGAGACATATGATAAGTCAATAGACACAGAATATAATTACTCATAGTGAAAGTATGACTCACTCCCAAATATTTAATTGGGCAGTGAATACAAGCCAGGTGCTGGGGATACAGCAATGACCTGGGGAGACAAAACCCATGTCCTCGTGGAATTTAGCAGAATCAAGAATTGTACCCAGGCTCCCCTGCCAGGCCAGAGCGTGCCTCTTTTGATCATATCCCTTCAGCTGGACTCTGGAGAAGAGAGGCAGGTGACACAGGGAATCCAGGAAGGTTGGCTTGTCTCTACCATTCAGCATCTTCCTTGGAGTGTTAGTCTGGGTTCTCCCCCATGTTCAAGAGATTTACTAGAGAAACATCTATGAGGGAAAACGGGGTGGGGGCTGGGAGGCTAGGAAAACATCAGAGTGCAGTGCAGGTCTGACCCATGTGAAGGAGAGGGAAGGAAGGAAGGCTGGGTGGAAAGTCCTAGATTATATCACAGTTCTAAGAAAGTCTGGCAAGATGGGGAGTCTCTAGACCAAATTGCCCATCAGAAGAATCTCCAGTCTCCCAGGAACGGGCCAACCTTTAATGTCTGTGCCATCCTCTAGTTGGGAGCAGCCCAGGGGAAGTGTGGGCTCTGAGTGAATGTAGTGATGGATTTCAGACACAGTAGCTGGGGTCATTGGTCAGTTACACTCCCCACAGAAGCTTTGAGAAGTACATGGTCACCACACCAGCATCCCCTCTGATCATGAATAGATATTGGCTGTTGGTTGGATCAGACTTCTGCTAGCCAGAGATTGCCCTATTCTCTAGAGGTCATGCCAGGCAGCCAGACAGATAAGGGCTAAAGATTATCACAGTCACTCTTAAGGAGCCCTAGCAAAGCCCAGATGGAAGGTATCCTGTCCCATGCAGACACTGCCAGAGGAGAGAGACCACATCTGCCCTCAGGTCTCATTTTAACATAGCAAATGTCCATGGAGTACCTACAATATGCAGAGTCACTGGGTCTCACTGCAACCCTCTCACGCCCTGCTGCCTCACCAGGCATCTGCCTTGAGTACAGGGTGAGCAAGGCTCTGGACATCATAGTCATAGGGAAGGGACTGAAGAAGGCTCCCTTCTTCTTTGGACTCTGTATTTGCATTATAAAGAGCACTTCTTTGGGAGTCAGAAGACCTGTGTTATAATCCTGATTTTGCTGCTTCCTTTGCAAACTATGTGACTTTAGGTAAATTATATAATTACCATGAACCTTGCTTTCTTGGGGCCATAAAGACCATGTGACCTTGACCTTGACACCTTCTGACAAACAAACGAGGCAGTAAGTATTTTAACCTGAGAGGCCTTTTGATCCTGCTACCCTGGCAGACCAGACTTAGGGTAGGCAGAGGGTGGGACGTGGCTGCCTCTCTGGCCAGACTGTCCCCTCATTCTTCTCTCATCTGCTCAGCTGCCACCCAGTAACTGGAGCGTGCACCTGCCAGCCAGGCTGGTCTGGCCACCACTGCAACGAGTCCTGCCCTGCTGGCTACTATGGCAATGGCTGCCAGCTGCCTTGCACCTGTCAGAACGGCGCCGACTGCCACAGCATCACTGGGAGCTGCACTTGTGCCCCAGGCTTCATGGTAAGATGGGAAGGGTCTCCCACGGCCTCATGCTCTCCGGCCTACACAGAAGAGGAGGCGTCAGCTCCTCCCACCTCTGAGTGGAATCTGGGAATCCCTTTGCCCAGGGACGAAGAGTGGAAGTGACTCCACACCTCCCTCAGAGAGCTCCTGACCAGAGAGCCCCCAGGCTGCTCTCAAAGGGTCAGTTATACTGAGGTCTGTAATTGTAGATTAAAAGGAGGGGGTCTTTCCATTGTCCCCTCAACCCTGAGCACCGGTTGTCTTTGCCCAGCTCTTCCGTGTCCAAATCCTATGCACACGGTCTTTCTCCATCATAATAACCACAGTATGCACAGTTTTGTATTCTACTTGCTTTCACCCACATTTGCTGCTTGGGCTTCTTGATTATCATTTTAAATAGCTGCATAACACTGCAGGAGCTGATGTACCCCAGTTTACTCAGCCATTCCCTTACTGCTGAATATTGAGTTGTTTCCAATGTTCACGGCAAATGTTACAATAAGCATCTTCCTACAAACAGCTTTTCCTCTCCTATTGAATTATTTCCTTAGGGTGAATTCCCAGGGTCAGTGGGCATAATATATTTATGGCTTTTGATGGATGGTGCCATATTACTTTCCTCAAGGGTTATATAAATCTATACCGCCACCAGCCATGTACAAATGTACCTATTTCAAAACAACTTTGCTAACATCCTTTTTTTTTTTTTTTTTTTTTTTTTTTTGGCTAATTATATCGGTAGAAAATGGCTCCTTGATGTTGCTCTAATTTGCATTTCTCTTCTGATTACTGGGGAGAGTGAACCTTTCCCCCATGTGTTTACTATTTGTATTTTCTCATGAATTATGCTGGCTTTTATGAGGTGAGGGAACTTGACACTGGAAGTGGAATCCTGTTCGAAGGTGGGGCGTGCCCAGTGGGTCTGAGGACCCAAGCACTCTGGGGTCCCCCAGGGCCATATATTTGATTGTGCTGTAGGAAGTGGTCTGTGCAGCACAAAGTGTGGTCTTTGGAACCACACTGGGGTCACATCCTGGTTGTCCTAAAGCATCTCCGTGACCTTGGAGCAGTGAGTTAACCTCTCTCAGGATCGGTTTCCTGATCTCTGGAATGGAACATGTGCCTCGCAAAACTGCTGCCAGGTATAGAGATGAAATACATCAAGTACCTCACCTCAGTGCTTCTCAGACTTTAGTGCACATATGAATCAGCGGTGGGCCCTATTGCATTGCACGTTCCGGTCCAGTAGATGCAGGTGGGGCCTGAGGCTCTGCATTCTAACAAGCTCCTAAGTGATGTCAGTGCTGCTGGTCAGTGGCCTCATTTTGAGTAGGAAGGGGTGGTCCTCAACTTGGGATGCCCATTGGAATCACCTGGGGAGCTTCATAAACACTGCTGCCTGTCCCCCCACCCCACCCCCGCCCCAGAACACTGATATTTTTGGTCTAGTTGAGGCCAGTGTGCTGTCAAGGTGGAGATCCACCGATCTACAGGGAAGCACAACATGGGAGTGTGGGTTTGCCTGGTGTCTTCTGTGGGCAAGTTGCCCTGGTCTATTGAACAAAATTCTGTTTAGTTCCTTCTTCCTCCTCCTCCCTGGTGCAGATAAAACTGGGTGAAAATGAATTCCGGTGACATCTTTGAAAGAGAAAGAAGTCTGTTCCCCCTGTAGGTTTCCTTTCTTATTTACCTTCATTGGTGTGTGCTTTGGCCATAATTTCCACAGAAAAATGTGAGTGCCCAAGGTTTTGGTTTGGGTGGGAGAGACTAGTTGTTTGGGAGACTGAGTGGAAGTGAACAGATCACACCAGACATTTAGTGTGGGCATTCTGACCCCAGTTCCAGTTCCACTATGACTTTGGACAGATGGCTTCCTCCCTCAGAGCCCCCAGTTCCTCCATCTGTAAATGGTAAGTGTTCAGGGGGAAATGAACCCACTGATTTCTAAGATGGTCCACTATGCTTCGCTTCTCCGCCTTTTGGCTAAGATCAAGTGTAAGATGGCCCATTGTGCAGAAAGCACATATCAGGGACCATGTCAGAAAGCACACCCTTATGGGGGAGATAAAGGAAAGTAGGAGCAAGGAGGGGTGTGTGTTGTGTATGTGTGTGTGTGTGATGTATGTGTGTGTTAGCCAAGGGAGAGGGGCTCATTGAAGTTGTATACATCATCTGTGGGACTGCTGAGTGTCCCATGTTCCCCCTTCTTCACCCCCCAACTGCCTGCCTAGTCACTATTCCTCAATAGAAGGGAGAATCAAAGCCTTCAGATGGCTAGGGAGGCCAGAGTCTGTGTGCCCAGTGCCCCCAGACCAGGGCTCCTGCAGTCTGGAGGCCAGTCCCCTGCTTCTCTTCCTCCCATCTGGGATGCAAATGACTTCCTGCCCTTGAACTTTGGGAGACTTGGCACTTGCAGTAATCATCTCATTGTGGAGTCCTACCTGCCTGGGGCTCAGGGCTAAGACAGATTGTAAGCCAAACTGCCCTGGTGAGACCCTGTGAATTCTCATCCATCTCCTCCTGCCCAGCCTCATTATACCTGGAAAGGCTCTTCTGGGGCCCTGTTGGGTGTTGAGCAGGAGCTGCTGGAGGTGATTACAGGACAGTCAATTGTTCTCATCCAGTGTGACTCATTCCTGAATGCACCAGGCTCCAAGGGGGAACTCATTACTGTTGCTTTTACTCCAGCTTCTGAATGAATGCAACTTCCTGCAATTAGCCAGCTCTGGTCAGGGTTGGGGTTGGGGCAATCAGCAGAGCCGACTTGGCTGAGACCTTCACCAGAATGCCCTGCAGTCAGTAATAATTAGGAATGCCTTTATTTGCTAGTTAATCTATAAATTTATGCAGCTGCCCTTTTCCTTGAAAGATTTTTAGGATGAGCAATTAATTAGAGACTAATTAAAAGAGCCCTTTTCTGAGTGTTTGGAGACCTCTATCCTAGGCTCACTAACCTTGGACATGTTGCCTCACTTTGCTGGGCCTCAGTTTCCTCTTCTGTAAGATGGGAGTCACATCATTCCTGTCTGCTATTGGATGTGAGTAGCCAACATGGTAATAGATGTGAGGCCACACCCAGCAAAGCTGGGCCCCACCCAGCAAAGCTCTCCCTGCCAAGGGCTCTTTAGGGAGGATTTGGGGATAGCTTTATTAAAGCAGAGTCTCTGAGGCCTGAGAATGGCCTCAGACTCAACGTAGATGTGAAGAGTACTAGTAAGGTAGCGAGAACCACCCTTGAGAGTCTAGTGGCCTGCCTGCTCCGGCCAGATGGTCCCCAACCCCTGCAGAGGCCATGAGAATATGGGGCAGAAGCAAGACCCACCTGGCAGCCTGGGTGTGTTGGCCTTTGCATTCTTCCTCCTTCCTTCTCAGAACACTAGATATTTACCCTGACAAACTTGGGAATCATCTGGTGGTATGGAAAGGCTAATCAGACATCCATTTAGCCTTCAAAGAGCTTGTGCTCAGTAACAATCATATTCACACTAGCAGCAAACACTTATTGAGTCCTTGCTGCATGCTTCATCTTTATTCCTCACAAGAGCCCTGTAGAGGTGCACTTTCACATTCTTCAATTTGAAAATGAGGAGCTGAAGTTCAAACAGGAAAAGTGACTTGCCCAGGATCACAAAGCCAGTAGTGGTGGGAGCCGCTGAGCTCTCATATGTTAGATGATAGACTTTGACTGACAGATAACCATGGAACCACACAAATCTGAGTTCAGATCCTTGCCCTCCAATTCCCACTCTGCCTACTGGCAAGCCTAAGCCTGCGCCTGCCTAAGCCTGAATTTCCTCCATTGTTAAGAGTAGACTTTGCCATGAGAGTGAGAAGCTTCATATGGAAAGTTTGTGATTCAGTGCCTGGAACACAGTAAGCACCCAGTAAAATGGTACTCATTATTGGTGCACTATGAGAGTATTGGGGGGAGGGGGGCAGTGTTTCCTCCAAGTTCAGCACTCCTCCCATCAAAGAGAGTGTCAAGATGAGCTATATATACCCAGGGGTTCCTTTTGGAACAAGCAGAGCCATGAATATGCACAGCTGTGGTTCCAAGCAGGTCCACCCAAGTACCTGTGGATCACCCTAAATGGTCAGTCTCAGGAAGCATTATGGGGTGGACACACCTGCTGATGTTTGGGGAAATGGACATAGAGCTGGAGGTAGGAGTAAAGTCTAGGCATTTTACATGTTAGCTTGGCAATGCCAGTGTAATAATTACTTGAGGCATGGTTTGCTGAATTACATTGGGGCTGCTGGGTGGGGCAAAAGAGCCCTGGGCTAGAAGGTGAGAAACCAGGTTCGTAGCTCTGGTTATGCTAGCTTTCAGGGCTTCTATTTCTTATCTGTAAAATGGGAATGAAATCGGCTCCGCAATAGAACAGTGGTATGGGAACTAATCATTAAAATGGGAGGGCTTAGGGGCGCCTGGGTGGCTTAGTGGGTTAAGCGTCCAGCTTCGGCTCAGGGCATGATCTGAGTCCGTGAGTTCGAGCCCCGCGTCGGGCTCTGTGCTGACAGCTCAGAGCCTGGAGCCTGTTTCCGATTCTGTGTCTCCCTCTCTCTCTGCCCCTCCCCTGTTCATGCTCTGTCTCTCTCTGTCTCAAAAATAAATAAACGTTAAAAAAAAAAAATTTTTTTTAATGGGAGGTCTTAAAATTGGGAGGCATATTGTTTCAGCACCTTGGACAGCCACCACAAGCCTCTCCTCTAAGGTTGTCTTGTCCTATCAGAACCTAGGGTCCCACCCAGTCAGAACACCAGGTTGAACAGAAGTGTGGGAGGGCAGAGTGAGGGTCGCAAGACCGGAGGCTCAGGCCAGCAGAGTCCTAGGAGTGTCCACATGAGGGATGATTCAGGAAGTGAGGAACAGCCTAACCGTGGTTGAGGGGACTAAGTGGAGCTGTCTATCCACTTGGAGGCTGAAATCACATCATCCCTCTATATGGTTTCTCTTTACCCACCAAACAAAACTCAAACCCTAGTCCTTTGCATGC